AGACTGTGCCATCATGTAGATTCCTAAGCTGTCCTGACATGGTCTTTGCATCAAGGAAAGGAGCGTTCAAGCAAATTGCACCATCAGCCTCACAGGATGGCAGCCATTGATTTGTCCCACAGTAAGTCCTGCTGTTGTTCTTTTTTGAAGACTCTGCTTTGGGTCTTCCTACTCAATATAGAGCCCCGTGATCTGGGCCTCTGCAGATATACCTCTGATTTATTTTGAGGTCGCTGATGTGTGTCAGAGAATGAAGTTTTTGTAAATGAGCCCTTGGTATGTGTGCTTTGTGAACAGGTGCTCCATAATCTCCTTCATGAGTATTATCGTGCAAATAAAGACACATTTATAAGGGCTTGAATTTCCTTACCTGTAAAACGATACTATTACCTTTTTCCCGATGGGCATCGTGGCTCACCTTTTTTTCTGGCTCTAGGTGAGAGCCTGCTGTGTCAGTGTATCTGTGTATATGTGTGAGTTTTCATGAGCGTGTAGGATTATATTGGAGTTTTATACTAGGATTGAATGACTTCCAGGCACATGAATGAGGAAATTGTTGTCAATTCTGGGTTCTCATTTCTTCTTTCTTTTACAGGTTGTGATCCTTCTGGGGACCCAATCTGCCTTTACAAAGAAAAGATACCAGCAGCAAGGATGGTTACTGACTCTTTGATAAATTGTAATCAGGTATGCTGAAAATGTATTTTTCTAAAAAATAACATCTTCTGTCCATCAGGTACACACATTTCCTTCTGGTCAGACTTGTCTTCACAGCTTCTTAAAGCAAATAAAGCCTCACTCAAGGAAGGAATCTCTAGTTGAATTTCTTCAGGGAGTGGATTCTCTGTGTTGATTAGGTATTACCTTGAAAATCACCTCAAATTTTTCTGACATTACTTCTTATTTTGACCTTCATGGTGTCAAGTGCATGTTTCTTTTCTTGCTGAGTGCTTTGGCACATATAAGGAAGATGAAACCATACTTTTGTCAGTGATTATATTTATATATCACTACTGTAGCATGTGTTTTTAAGGTGCTCAGGAATTGGCTTCAATAAAGGGCAATAGATGAGAAGAGCTTTCTGTCCAGTAGTGGTGAGATGGGTTCAGGTGTTAAGAGGTGCCATTAAAGCCATATGACTGGATGAGATTGGCCATGAGTGGGTGTGGATAGATACTACCTAAGACCATTGATCCTTTGGGTAGGAAATGGAAGCCCTCAGACTTTTTAATAGATATTGGATCCCTCTTCATTATCTAGTGCATTATTTGTGGACATGTTATGTGACTCAAACCAGCATGTGTGTAATGATTTAGGACCCAGTGACATTTGAGGATGTGGCTATGCACTTCACTCAAGAAGAGTGGATTTTATTGGATCAAACTCAGAAAAGCCTGTACAGAGATGTGATGTTGGAGAACTACAAGAACCTGGAGTCAGTAGGTAAGACTGGATCATTTCTTGCAGTCTCCTCTAGAACAGATAAAGCAGCATACCATGTACTTACTGTGTTCCAAGACCCTTGATGCCAAATCTTAATACAATGGGAAATAACAGAGACATAGTCATTGAACTAATAGGTTTTAATGTAGTGTTGTCATTTTCAAAATGTGGTTCTAGGATTCATTTATATCACTGTAACGTATTAGAAATTAGGGGGTGCTGGCTGGTTAGCTCAGTTGGTTAGAGCACGGTGCTGATAGCACCAAGATACAGGGTTTGATCCTAGGATTCAGTGGCATCACTGTCACTCTATTAGTAATGTAGGGAGCTGGCCAGTTAGCTCAGTTGGGTAGAGCATGGTGCTGATAACAACAAGGTCCTGAGATGATCCCTGTACTGGACAGCCACCAAAAAAAAAATTTTTTTTTCAGA